TTTATTTATTTATTTATTTATTTATTTATTTATTTATTTATTTATTTGTGAAAACAAGACTTTGTTTTACAGTTAAAGCTTGCCTTTAACTTACTATATAATCTATGACATGCTCGAACGCTTGAAGCAATTCTCTTGCCTCAGTTTTTCATGTATTGGAATTGTAGGCTGACCAAATATCCAGGTACAGTTAAAGTTTCTTTTATGCAATAGAGTTATTCCAAAATAATTATATTGACATGTCAACTGATATTAGATGTGAATCTTTTTACCACTCTATACTTGCAGGGAAAATTTTAGATCATATTGAAATACTTAGGACATTGACAATTGTCTGAAGTTTCTGTGTTGCCTGGTCCTTCAGTCATTCAGTCCCAAAGAATCACAGAGAGACCTACATCAATTATAAACTGATTGGCCCAGTATCTCAGGCTCTTCTTATTAATTAATTCTTATAACTTATATTAACCCATAATTCTTGTTTATGTTAGCCATGTGGCTTGGTACCCTTTTCAGTTTGGCAGTCACACCTTTCTTCCTCTGCAGCTGGATCAGGACTGCATACTGAAACTTCCTTCTTCCCAGAATTCTCGTTGCCCCACCTCTATTTTTTGCCTGGTATCCCTTCCTTTACTTCCTGTCTGACTACTGGCCAATCAGCATTTTATTAAAATACAATTGACAGGGTACAGACCATTGTTCCACAGACAATCTTCTTCACAGTCCTGTATTCTCTTCAAAGATTTATTGATTTGTTAATTTATTATGTGTACAATGTTCCACCTACACATAGAGCTGCACCCAGAAATGGGTGCCAGATTCCTTTATAGATGGTCGTCAGTCAACACCATATAGTTTCTGGGTTGAACTCAAGATCTCTGGAAGAGCAGCCAGTACTCTTAACTTCTGTGCTGTCTCTCCAGCCACGAGGAAGAAGGATGTAAACTATCTTATTTGTGTTTTGCACTGATTCCATGTTAAGGTCACATTTAAGTGATAGTTGGTTAAATAAAACATATTGCTAAGGCAAGAAACAAAGTTGCTCTAAGTTTTCAGATGCTCACTATCAGACATGAATCTCAATGCTTTTTTAAAAAAAATAGTTATGTTTTTGTTTTATGTGCATATTTGTGCTTGTGAGTGTATTTCCGTGCAACACATTTAAACAGGAACACATAGACACTGAAAGAGTGGCTCTGACTTCCTGGACCTGGAGTTACATGTGACTGTACCCTGCCCTGTGTGTGCTGGGAATTGAACCTGGGTCCTCTACAAGAGTAGTAAGTGTTGCTAATAGATGAGCTATTACTCTAGCTTCCAAAGACAAAATTCTGAAAAATTTTTATGTGCATCCTCACCATGTGCTCATTCATACTTCACACATGTCCATGTCTTTAGGTAAAAAAACTGAATTTTAAACACCCATGGACAAAACTGATAAACTGCCTTGAGAAATGACTTTATTAAGCGCCTTTGCAATGTACTGAAAATCCCTCTGTATTGGGTAAACTGTGGACCTGTGTCCTTCTGGTCACCCTGCTGTGAAGCAGCACATCATAACTTCTAGACATTTCTGCTGTGACACCAACAGGCTCAAACTATGAGACCTTTGCCAGAGAAACAGACTTTAGAGGCTGGACTGTGGAAATGAGAATGACGTGACACTCTTCAGCTTCACTGAGGCTGAGGGTGACAAGTGGGCTACGGGAGAGGGGTGTGACCCACGCAGGAGGTGCTAGATCTGAACTTGGGGTGGTCCTTTACGTTTCTGTCTGTAGACAGCTATATCTACTTCATCCTTTCTGTGAAAGAATCTAGAGCAAGCTAATTTATTTTTTACATCATCTCATTCTTGTGGTGTTTGGTGAGTTAGCACAGTTGGCTGTGGTTTCTGCCCATCAGTGACAACAGAGAAAAAGGAGTGTGGTCCCACTCAACTATGATAAATACATCCCCTTAAATAAAAGTCACCACCACCCCAATTACATCTTACACGGCGAGACGGTGGGAGGCTGAGTGCTGTGGGCAGTCCTAACTAACTGTGAGCTAATATCTCTTACAAACTGTTCATAAGTGCTAAGTAGATACAAGGCAAGCGTCTCTCTCCAAAGAGCATGGTAGGAGGTCATGCAAGTGAGGCTTTAGGGAGCTTGTTTCATTCAGTTGTTGGCTACTCTTGGTGTCTGAGCAGAAGCTATGTATTGGGCTGCCAGATAGACTATCAACAGACTTCAATTTGGGGTCCGGGAATATGGCTTAATTGGTAAGAGAACCTGCTATGCAAGCATGAGAACCTGATTTCAATTTCCAAAGCCCAGGCAAAAGCTGGTGGTGAGTGGGTGTGCCTGTAATTTCAGGGATACAGGAGGTACAAGCAGGAGGATCAGTAGAGCCTAAGGGCTGCAGGCCCAGCTTCAGGTCAGCAAGAGACCTTGTCGCATGGGCAGTATGGTGGATTTTTTTGGTAATCTCTATTGTGCATATGGGGGCATACAAAATGCACAGATGCATATAACACACACACACACACACACACACACACACACAGAATAAAGTTTGAAGGAAAAAAGTCAGACTGCAATCAAAGATTGCTCTAAGAATTTCTGTTTCTCCTGGTGTAGGGCATACACCTCAGGTGCTATATACCTTCTATGACATTAAAGAACATAATGTCATCCTCAGAAAGCAAAGAGATATTAATCAATGTCTTGAGGGAACCTTTTCTTAGATTATGAGGAGGCAACACCCCATTCCAGTTTTTCTTAGGTCTTGTTTGCATCCTTGGTTGAGGAATTCTGTGTCACCTCAGGGGAATGTTACCATTTTAAACCTCCTGTGACTACATACTTATGCTGATTCTCCTGACCTCCTATACCTCAACAATAGTCACCTCCTAATTTTTGTGGAGTGAGGTTCAAGACTAAGAAGTGGCATTCATTATTCAAGTGGAAAGAGAGTCACTGTGGTGAACAGTGTCTTGGGTGTGTCCATTGGGACTACTCTCCTACATCTTTACCAGACTAATACTACCAAAAATAGGAGTGAGAGCCCAAGCTGCTCCTTACCTTCTTGGGTGCCAAAGTTCTCCATAATCATGCCAAAACAACGACTAGGAAGCTGATTCCCACGATGATACACACTGCAATACATGGAGACTGGGTAGTAGAAGAAGAAAGTGGGGTCGCAGATGGAAGCCGGGTGGTATCTAGGATCTTTGATATTGATCCTATAAAAACATTAGGGAAAATATGGATAAAGCTGAAAACGAACCGCTATGAGCAACTTCTCTCTCTCTAGGCATCCCTAGAGACTCCTGTGTGATATCTATTTTACTAGATCTTACATAGAGAAAGGACTAGGATGTGTGTGTAAGATGTCCATACAGAGTTTATTTCATTGCCAAAGAAAGCAAATATCTATCAAACAATGTGACCGATTTACTGTGGGTAGAACTTTCTGGATGTAAGGTCAGTTGGTGGTGTTTAGTTGTGCCAGGGAAAGATAGTGAAGTCTTTCACTTGATGTGGAGCTGTTGGAAGGACAGCTATAAGTGAGGAAAAAAGGGTTAGCATTTATAGGGATGCCTACAGACTTAAGGATCATGAGCAGGCCATGTAGTGTCTGGCCATTGATTAATAGAAATGGCAAACATTGGCAGTTGAGATGGGGGAGAGACATCCCTGTGGTCATCACTGACTCCCCAGGCAGGAAGACTATCAAGAAATCACTTAGTCTATCAAATCATCCATTATGCACACATACTGATGTCTACTTAGGGAAGTCAACAGACTTTTCAAGAGAACAGTGATGCCTTTCCCACCCTGTGGAGGTTTCCTTGTGTTAATCCACCTAAGTTCTTACTTGGCATTTCCTTCCAGTGCTTTAAGAATTCCTTGAGGCAGTGTGGGGAATCTCCCATGGAGAACACTGCTAAAAGTTGTTCTAGTTCTCTGTTAGTCTTCCATTTCTCCATGTTACCTCTGGCTTCATCATGCATCACTCCCCAAGCCTTGTTCTTTGGAATAAAGTAGAAGAAATACTGTCCATCCATGCTGAACTTCCAGGAGGAATCAGTGAGTTGTCCATTTTTATATTGGGATTCCATGGTGACCTGCAAGGTGTGACGGCCTGGAAATGACACACAAAACCATCATCTTCTACCCTTATAGACCCTCCAAGGTCAAGTCTTTCTCCACACACTTAGGGACCTGGATTCTTTCCTCCCCTGGCTTCCAATTTCTTACCCATAGGTTACCTAGTACTTCTAGGTTGTGTCAACATTAAGTTCTTTTTACAAATCCTCAGCAGTTTCTTTCCCACAAGTGCTCTGCCCTGTTTCTTCTTTCCTTTATTCTTTCTTCCTTCCTTTCTTCCTTCCTCCCTCCCTCCCTCCCTCCCTCCCTCCCTTCCTTCCTTCCTTCCTTCTTTCCTTCCTTCCTTCCTGTCTTTCTCTTTCTTATTTTCTTTCTTTTTTGCTGGTTTGTTTGTTTGGGTTTTTTGTTTGTTTTTATTTTGTTTTTTTTTTCAAGACAGTTTTTCTCTGTGTAACCCTGCCTGTTCTAAAACTTTCTGTGTAGACCAGGCTGGTCTGAATTTAAAGATTCTTCTTGTCTATGGCTCTGGAGTATTGGAATTAAGGGCATGTGCTGCCACCATCACCCAATATGCCCTTCTTGTTTCTTATTGATAACTTCTATCTTTACATCCTGCCCCATTCTTACCCATGGTCTTGTCTGCTTCTTGTTCCATGTTAAGTATCTGCTTTCTCATCTCTTCTCCAATGTCTTTCTGATGTTGGCTGAAATCTGTACATGTTTTGGTGTTATATATCACATTTCCATGGTCACCCAAAGGTGTGAATTTATTGTCCTTATACTGAAGGATAGGTTCTCCATTCACTGAGCACTGCCCTTTAAACCAGGGTGTGGAACGAGCCTTGATAGTGAAGTTGAGACAAATATAGTATGTATCTGTGAGAAAAAAAAACACAAGGTGGTAAGGTCCAAAGAGAGAGAGAGCGAGCAGAGGATCACAGGACTCATGTTCTGTAAACCTAGACTCTTGCATAGGTACACTGGTTGGGAAAGCTCAATTCTGAGTTCTGGATAACCTTCACCTGCCTTAGTCTGGCATGATGATCTGGTACTACCATGAACCCCTAGGATGTATACAGTGTCACCAGTAGGACCTGCCTGACAACCCCTTGAAATATCTTTGTCTAATAAATACCTAGGTAGAAAATAAACCAACTAGTATCTGTGCTTCTGGGGCTTCAAACCTGGCTGATGAGAGAATGCCTTTTACAGTAAGAAAGAGGTATCAAGGATGCATGATAAATTCATCACAGGTCTTAAGTGTTCAGGAGAGGTTTCCTGGGGAAAGGCTACAAATAGCCTAGATGGAGAGAGGCTGCCACACTCACATTACCTAGTACCTGTCTTGGTGCCCTTGATATGAGCACTGGACCTTTAGGGTCCTCTCTAGTTCAATCACAGATTTAAGAGTTATGTATGTGGCTATAGCCTGTATGAAGTCACAATTTCCATGTCCTGCCTAGCCAAATCTAAGACTAATAGGAGTAGAGGAAGGGCAATCCCAACTTAAAGAATCAGAACGTATTTCCAACAAAATCACAGGGAAAAAAAAAAAAAGCTTTCCTAACTTAAAAAAGGAGATGCCCATATAGGTATAAGAAGTATACAGAGCACCAAATAGAGTGGACCAGAAAAGAAAGTCTTCTCACCATATAAAAATCAAAACACTAAATTTACAGTACAAAGAAAGAATATTAAAAGCTACAAGGCAAAAAGACCAATTAACATATAAAGACAAACATATTAGAATTACAACTGGGCCAAAAGGGCCTAGACAGATTTGCTGCAGACTCTAAGAGACCAGAGAAGTCAGTTCAGATTACTATACTCAACAATTTTTTTAATCACCACAGACAGCGAAAATAAGATATTCCATGATAAAGTCAAATTTTAACAATATCTATTTACTAATCCAACACATCTGAGGGTACTAGATGGAAAACTCTAACCTAAGGAAGTTAACTACACCAGTGAAAACATAGGAAATAAATAATACCACCCCAGAAATCCAAGAGAAGGAAAACACACACATACACATACACACAAACACACACACACATACACATACACACACACATACACACAAACACACACACAAACACACACATACACACAAACACACACACATACACACACACAAATACACACACAAACACACACACAAACACACACATGATGGAGGAGGGTTATCTGTCTATTGTGTTATTTTCATTGGTCAATAAAGAGACTGCCTTGGCCCCTTGATAGGACAGAAAATTAGGTAGGCGGAGTAAACAGAACAAAATGCTGGGAAGAGGGCTATGAGCCAGACGCCATGGAGCCAGCCACCAGGTCAGACATGCTGAATCTTTCCTGGTAAGCCACACCTCGTGGTGCTACCACGAGATTGTTAGAAATGGGTTAATATCAAGATATGAGAGTTAGTCAGTAACTAACTCTCTAGAGATAATGGGCCAGGCAGTGCTTAAATGAATACAATTTGTGTGTTGTTATTTCTGGGACTAAGCTAGCCATGCGGGAGCCGGGTGAGGCGAAAAGCAGGCCTGCCCGCAGCCCCTCACTACAGATGGCGCCAACGTGGATAACTGAATCCACAGAAAGCTTGAGAAAGTTTGGGAAAGAATAGAGTGAAGCATGTTTTCTTGGTGGCAGCAATTTCTCGGGTCTGCTCTGCTTGCTAGAGGCAAGCAATGCTTTCATTTAAGAGAGGTTTCCTGACTCAGCTTTAGCTGCAAAACTTTGTAGCTCATTGAGAGGTCCTGCCGTGAAACACTTAAATGGTATTGATGAAAAGCTGAACGCATGCTTTTCGGTTTTCAGTCGTAGCAGGAAAAATGCTGTGCTGTTTTAAAATGCCGGTTTTCTGGGCCGTCCTGCCAGGGCAAACTCTGACTCTTTCAGGCAGGCAGTCCGACTGAGTGTGGTCTGTGAGCAGAATGCTGCAGCTTGCTTGCTGGCAAGGACCTTGAAACGGCATAGAGTTGTGGCAGTGAACACAGCTCTGGCTGATACCTCAGCCATGATGATGGAAAGCAAAATAATGGGCTGGATCTAGCTGTCAAAGCCACGGCTTTAGTCCTACCGATATTGCTTGGTAAATTAAAGGCTCATGTGGTCAGAAAAAGAGATATACAGTAAAGAGAGATTCAAAGAGGAAGAAAACCTCTAAACATTTTACAGTGTGTTAAAAATATATATGCAGGCTAAAAGTTAAAGTTCTTAATGTAAAAAAAGGAAGAAAGAGAGTAGTTGGGTGTGGTGGTACACACCTAAATCCCAATGCCTGGGAGGCAGAGGCATATTGACCTCTGTAACTTCAAGGGGTAGAGGTAGATTGACCTCTGTGACTTCAAGGTGTGGTAGCACACACCTTTAATCCCAATGCCTGGGAGGCAGAGACAGAAGGATCTCTGAGTTCAAGGTGTGGTAGCACAGGCCTTTAATCCCAGCACTGGGGAGCAGAGACAGACAGGTCTCTGAGTTCAAGGACAGCCTGGTCTACAGAGTTATTCCAGGACAAAGATATACAGAGAACCTGTCTCAAAAAGTAAAAGTAAAAATAAAAGAAATAGAGGTTAAAATAAAGCCACATAGAGATGGAAAATACACAGAGAATCTTGATACTGTGTGTTATTCTGCTCTCTTTGAATTGTTTGAATGCTGAGGAAGGAGCAACAGCTGCTAAAAGATATTTGTTTATAAATGCTGCTGAACTAATCCAAGATAGATATTTTGAAAATACCTTGACTTCAGAATTTGGATCTAAGGATATGATACTTTGGAAAGGAGGTTCTTCTTTTGTTTTCACAGAGGATGAGACCCTGTGGATTGCTTCTATCCCAATATGGTATGATAGACCACGCCCTCCTGAAAGGTTTCTGTGAACACCCTCAAAAAATTATTTCACTCAACTGCCGACTGAGATGAACCTGGCAGACAGGTTATACCATGAAAGACCTGATTAACTGCGCCCATATACAGCAGGAAGAAGTTTGGAGAGAAATAACTACGCCCATATTCCCAAATATTGTTTATAAATGTTCTTTTACATTAAAAGGGGGATATGATATAGATATGAATAATTTCATTGGTATGGATTTTAAGGTCAATTTTGTTATATGTATATATATTTCTGATCTTGATTGATGTATTGTGATTGTATAGTTCATTTAAAAATGCAATGTATAATTAAAAATATAGGTTGTTAATGGATAATCATCGATAATAGTCAAGCTTGTAGTAATGTTAGTTTGATTTTGTAGATGTGCATAGATATATTTCAGAGAGACATTCTTCATATCTTTCAAAGACTACAGAACATAGCATTTAATGTTTTAATAACTTAGGACAATGAGACATGTCTGCTCCTGGCAGCACCAATCTACTTCAAGAGGAAGATGGGCATCGAAGAGGCTCCTTATGGAGTTGGTTAGCCATTTGGGCAGGAAACTGCTCTTGCCTGGACTGTTATATAAACTGGACACAGAGAACCCGCAGAGAGAGGACTGCTGAACTTGCCTAAAGGTGAGATGATCTTTCGGGGTTCCTGATTCATGAAAGAGTCTGCGAGACATTCTGCAGGACACAGCAGATAGTGATTGAATTGCCTTTGAAATTTCCTGCTTCATGGAAATGTCTCTGGATATTATGGGCCTGAAGGCCGAAGATGGGTGCCCCAACGATACAGAGGAACTTTGGGTGACTGTCCAGGCAGCGAGATGTCTCTGTCATTTCTAGAGTTTTGGAAGTTGCTTACTTCATGCTTACTTAGGTAATATATCCTTCTGGAGTCTTTGATGGAGTTAAAGAATGGATAGTCGTAGTTATAGTTTTCCATTATTATGATAAAGATATAGTTATAAATATTGTGACTGTAATTCTTGCTTGATAACTGTTTTGTTATGTGTAATTTTACTATGTTAAAATGAAAGCCTTTCTTTTTTGTTTAAACAGAAAAAGGGGAAATGATGGAGGAGGGTTATCTGTCTATTGTGTTATTTTCATTGGTCAATAAAGAGACTGCCTTGGCCCCTTGATAGGACAGAAAATTAGGTAGGCGGAGTAAACAGAACAAAATGCTGGGAAGAGGGCTATGAGCCAGACGCCATGGAGCCAGCCACCAGGTCAGACATGCTGAATCTTTCCTGGTAAGCCACACCTCGTGGTGCTACCACGAGATTGTTAGAAATGGGTTAATATCAAGATATGAGAGTTAGTCAGTAACTAACTCTCTAGAGATAATGGGCCAGGCAGTGCTTAAATGAATACAATTTGTGTGTTGTTATTTCTGGGACTAAGCTAGCCATGCGGGAGCCGGGTGAGGCGAAAAGCAGGCCTGCCCGCAGCCCCTTACTACACACACACACATACAAACACACACACATACACACAAACACACACACATACACACACAAACACACACACATACACACAAACACACACACATACACACACACAAACACACATACACACAAACACACACACATACACACACACAAACACATACACACACAAACACACACATATACACATACACACAAACACACACACATACACACACACAAACACAGACAAACACACACACATACACACAAACACACATACACACAAACACAAACACACACACACATATACAGAAACACACACACACATACACACACACATACACACACACACACACACCACTGTGGCCACAACTACCACCACCACCAATAGCAACAACAAAATAACAGGAATCAACAATCATAGGTAACTAATATCTCCAATATCAAAGATGTCAATTCCCCAATTAAAAGACACAAATTAATTTAATGGATGTGAAAACAGGATTTATTCTTCTGCTGTACCCAAGAAATATGCCTCAACATCAAGCATCAAGCAAAGACGTTAACTCATGGTAAGTGGTTAGAAAAGATATTATAAGAAAATGGACCTAAAACGTTAGTGGGTATAACTATTTTAATATCTAACAAAATAGGTTTCAAACCAAAACTAATCAAAAGAGATAGACACTAAGTTTTCATCAAAGGCAAAATCCACCAAGATAACATTTCAATTCTTAACATTTATGCCCCAAACATAAGGGCACTCAAGTTTGTAAAAGAAACACCACTACAGTTTAAATCACAAATTGACCTTCACACACTGATAATGGGAGACTCCAATACCACAAACTTTTACCAATGGCAGGTCAAACAGATCTAGAGATGTCAAACAGACATAGAGATGCTGGAGCTAACAGACGCTATCAACCAAATGGACCTACCAGAAATTACAGAACATTTCACCCAAACACAAAGGAATGAACCTTCTTCACTGGACCTCTTGAAACTTTCACCAAAATTAACCACATACTTGGACATAAATTGAGTCTCAACAGATGTAAGAAAATTGAAATAACTCCCTGTATCTTATCAGACCATCACAGATTAAAGTGAGTTATCATCAAAAACAGAAACAAGACAAAACTTGGAAACCCAGTTAGAAAACTGAACTGCTCTCTACTGGATCACAATCCTAGACCTGGAAGGAGTGGGGAGGGACTTGAATTTCCCACAGGGCAGGAAACCCTGACTGCTCTTAGGACTGGAGAGGGAGGAGGAGAGGGAGGAGGGGGAGTGGGAGGGTATTGGGAGGAGGGGAGGAAGAGGAAATTTTTATAAAGAAAATATAAAAAATAAAAATAAATAAAAATAAAAAACCTACTGCTGTTAAAAAAAAAAAAGTGGGCCAAGGCAGAAATAAGAAAGAATTTAAAGACTTCCTAGAATCCAATGAAAGTGAATACATGCCCAAATGCACAGGACAAAATAAAAGAAGTAAAAAGAGAAAAGGTCATAGCACCAAAGGCCTACATAAAGAAATTGGGGAGATCCCAAAACAGCAATTTAACAGTACACCAGAAAGTTCTAGAACATAAAGAAGCAAACTCACCCAAGAAAAGTAAACTACAAGAAAAAGACAAACTGGGAGCTCAAATCAATAAAACAGAGACAAAGAGAACAATATAAAGAATCAATGAAAGAAAGAGTTGGCTCTTTGAGAAAATCAGCAAGATAGACAAACTTTATCCAAACTAAAAGTCAAAGAAGGAATTTCCAAACTAACAAAATTAGAAATGAAAAGGGGGACATAACAACAAACACCAGAGAAATCCAGAGAATCGTAGAGGTATACTTAAAAAACTGTGCTCCACCAAGTTGGAAAATCTAAAAGAAATGATTAACCTTCTCCATAGGGACCACTTACCAAAGTTAAATCAAGATCAGATAAACAATTTAAATAGACCTACAACCTCTAGTGAAAGAGAAGCAATCTCTAAAAGTCTCCTAAACAAACAAACAAGCAAGCAAGCAAAAAAGTTCAGGGTCATGTTGTTTTAGTTCAGAATTCTACCAGTCTTTTCAAGAAGAGTTAGAGCAATAATCTTCAAATTATTCCACAAAATAGAAACAAAAGGAACATTGCCCAATTCATTTTATCCTGATACTCAAATCATATAAAAACCCAGCAAAGAAAATCACAGACGAATGCCCCTTTGAACATAGATGCAAAAATACCTAATAAAATATTTGTAGACTGAATTCAAGAGCACAACAAAAATATCATCCACCACAATCAAGTAGGCTTCATACTAGAGATGCAGGAATGATTCAATATACAAAAATAAATAATTGTAATCCACTGTATAAACAAAGTGAATGAAAAATGTCATGTACTTGATCATCTCATTAGAGACAGGAAAAACTCTGACAAAATCCAACACCCCTTCATGAGAACAGTCCTGGACAGTTTAGAAATATAAGGGACTAAGCTAAACATAATCAAAGCAATAAAAAAGCTGGTTGCATGTGCTGTGATCTTTTATTAAAGCACACCGAGAAGTTCAAAAGCAAAGAGCCCAGAGAATGCCTGAGAGTTAGTTTGGGGACAGAAGGAAAGGGCTAGGGGGAGGGCAAGAAGGAACTTTGGGACTCTATAAGGAGTCTTGAGCTGAGGAAACCCTGTCTTCCCACACTGTGCCTCTGTGATTCCCCTCCCAATCTGATCCTGGAACTCACTGGCTAGCCCAAAACACAGTTAACTCGCTGCCACCCCGTTCTCCAATGTCGGAAGGAACCCAGAAACTCACAAACTACATGCGCCCCTCAGCCAAGTTAAACTCTAGGCGCTGTTCCCATTGAATCCCCAGAACTCACCACCCAGTTCTGCACACAGACAGAAAGGCAGCAGAGTGAGAAGCAGGATCAGGTGGAGCTTGGTGGCTGCCGCCAGCTCCATGGTTTCTTCCCTAGACTCAGGTGCGATGCAATGCGAACTCTCTGGAACGCTGTGATGAAGTGAGCTGTCTCGACAAAGGCTCAGTCACTCTCTTCTGATTGCCCCGCCCACAGGAAGTTTTCGAAACTTCTGGCAGTGAGGTATTTCTCTTCTTAGGGGTGGCCAAATCAAGTTCTTGGTTTCCACTTTCTGAGTCACTCCACAGTCTGTGTTGGCTGGTCCTATGCCCTTGTCTGCTGCAGTGTAACCCCTCCCTTGGTTCAAGTCAGGAGTGCTGGGGGTGGAGCAGCAAGAGGGCCTGGGGTGAGGTGAGGAACTAGCAGCAGGGGCTCCAGGCTTCTGAGTTCCTAACACCCAGATTCCTCAAAGAGCTCACTCAGCAGCCATGTCCTGGGGGACCCTCTGCAGTAAACCTGGACAGAAGGCAAAGAAAGTGGCCACTTGGGGTGCATCCAGAAATGGAAGTAACCCAGGCCAAACAAGTTTTGTCTTTGTGGGGGTTTCCCCGAACCCCTCCCCCTGCACCTTATGTTCATGCCTCTTGCCCCTGGCCTAGGAATCCTTTCTACTCCTCTCTGGCTGCAGCAATGCACCTTCCTGCCCCCTCCCTGCTCCCATCTCCTCTCTCTCTCTAACTGCATCTCCTCCTTCAGATTCCCTAGAGAAACAGAAGTTAGAAAATGAACCTCTCTATATAAAGGAGATTTATTGGTAATTTATTAATAAATCTCTATTTAAGGAGATTTATTGGAAAAGAAGATTTATTCAGCTAATCCAACAATGGCTGGCTGTGAATGCTAAATACTAGAACCCGGCAGTTGCTCAGTTCTCAAGGCTGAATGTCTCAGCTGGTCTCCAGTGTGTGCTGGATTCCTGTAGAACCAGGCTCTAGTGCTAGAGAAGGGACTGATGTGCTGGCAAGGTGAAGGCGAGCAGGCAAAGAGCCAACGCCTCCCTCTTCTATGTCCCTCTATAAACTTCCCGCATAAGGTAGATTCCAGGTAAAGGTGAGTCTTTGTGCCTCAGGAATCGAATTAAAGACATGTATCTTCCTGTTTCAAAGGTCCCGACTCACCCACCTGAAACCAAGCAAAACATCTCTTACAGGTGTACCCTCCATTTCTGAATTGTACTTCATTCCAGATATAGCCAAGCGGACAGAAAATGGCCACCACATCACTCTGGACTTTTCTTTCTGTATATCCTTTAAAACACGTAACAGGTTTGTTCCCCTCTGAAATCAGGGTTGTTAGTCCTCCTAACTGCAGGCTGTGCTTTCCTAGTCAGTTCTGTGACCCCTGTGATATTGCATAGGAAAGTCTGAAGTCACTACTGGGTTTCCACAGGTTTTGAGGTACACCTAGTTTTTTGAGGCAGGGTCTCCCTCTGAAGTTGGGAAGTTACGGATTTGGCTACACTGGCCAGTCTCCAAGACCAAGATCATCCTATGTCCAGGATTACAGGCACAAACCATCTCTTCTGGAGGTTTTGTGTTTGTTCTAGAGAGTGAAATTCAAGTCCTGGTGCTTACATTGCTGAGATTTTGTAAATGAAAGCAACATCTTAGCTGCTCTTAGTGGCACACGCCTTTTATCCCAGCCTTGGGAAGCAGAGGCGGGCAGCAGATCTCTGTTGATTTAAAGGCCAGGCAGAATTATATGGTGAGAAACTTTCTTAAAAACTAAACAACAATAGCAAAGAACACTTTCATAGAAAACATTACCAGTAGGGCAGAAATTGCGAAACTGTGGACACTTGGTACTTCTGCTTATTTTCCTGTGTGGGTGGTGAAGGCAGGGCTGGGTGCTCACGGACAGAGGTAGTACCCACAAACTCTGCGCTTGTGTCTGTGCACGGGATGCCAGAGAACTATCAAGACTCTAGTTCTCTAGCTGGTTTCCATCTTTTGTTTGGGGAGTTCACTGACACAGGGATTGCCAAGCAGGAAGGCTAGGCTGGCTCACTTGTGAGTCCCAAGAATCCACTTGTCCGTTCCTCAGCACTTCTGAGATGGCCAGCATGCTCTACCACCCCTCCCTCTACAACTTGGGTCCTAAGGCTCAAACTTGGGTCTTGATGCCTACAGGACAAGCACTGTATGACTCAACTATCTCTCCACACTGCAGCATTCTTTTATGTTGCATTTGTTTAACTGTCTGAAGCTCTGTTACTTTACCCGTCTAAAAATCTTGATTGGTCTCTAATAGAGAGCTTGCAGAACAGAGACCCTGTCTTTCCCCATAGACTACCTGAGTTTCCAGTGCCCCTTCTCCCCTACCTTCAATATACCCCCACCAATTGACTCCACAAGCTTTAGGGTAGGCTGTTACAGACATCGCAGAGGGATGGTTGTTGACGTCCTACAAAAAAAGCTTTTGGTATAGCTGACATCATTCTTGCCCGCAGCCTGAATTGGAGTTGAAGAACACAGGATGTGAATCAGGAGGGGTGGGCTAACATCTCAGCTGTTCTTTGGGGGTGACTTCCCCATTTGTGTCTCAGGTTGCTCATCTGGGACTTTCCTAACTCTTCCCTTTCCCTGCAGACTCTTATTTCTGCAGTTCCTTAGACTTGGCTCTTACTCAGATCTTTAGGAGTCTGGCTTCACCTGAAGGTCTTGACTGAGAACAGGTCCAGTGGAGTCAGCAGTGAGAACTGGGAGTGCAAACCTGGACTCGGGGTCCAAGGCTGAACTGCACATGGCACATCCCAGTGCTCAGGAGTGTCATGTCCTTAGAGACCTCACAGGTCCCTCCTAACACAGGCTGCTGCTACATCTAGCACAGCAGGACAGGGTGAGGATCCAGGCAGCCACCTAGAGACACTCATGTTGCTGTCTTCTAAGCACAGTGCCTACTGCTCAGTCTGAGACAGAGAGTTTGAAGTCTCATGCTACCTCCAGAATGACAGCAAACATCTTTTCTATGGGCAAATATTTCATTTTTGTTTTTGTTTTTATTTGTTTTGTTTGTTTTTTTTCTTTGATCCTTTAGGGAGCCTGCGACCCAGCTCCCAAATAAATCACATGGAAAAGTAGTCTTAGTTATGAGTTTCTGGCCTTAGCTTGACTTATTTCTAGACAGCTTTACTTAAATTATCCTCTCTACCTTTCGTGTCTGAATTTTTATCTTCCCTATTTCTGAATACCTTTTTTTTTCTTTTTTACTTCTTACTCTGTGGCTTGCTGTGTAGCTGGGTGGCTGTCCCTTTGCATCCTCTTCTCTTCCTTTCCTTATTGTGTGATCTTTTCTTCCCATATTTCCTCTCCTCTTTGTTCTCACTGCCTGCCAGCCCTGCCTATCCTTTCTCCTGCCTCACTATTGGCCGTTTTGCTCTTTATTAGACCAATCAGGTGTTTGAGACAGGGACAATAACACAGCATCATCGAGTCAACAAATGAAGCACAAAAGTATGCAACTCATCTTTACATTATTAAACAAATGCTCCACAGCATAAACAAATGTGACACATCTTAAAATAAATACTACACAGCAGGCAGCCAAGTCATGTGTCATTACTCAAGAAACATTCATGTTAGGAGCTTCAGGCATGTGTGTTTTCTCTCTGTCTGCTGCATTCCATGTCTTCCAGGCAGAGAGAGACAGAATAGAAAGATCCATCGAAACCATAACTGTTGTGGTTTGAATAGGTATGGTTCAAATAGACACATGTGTTTGAATGCTTGGCCCATACATGACTTTGTTAGAAAAGATGTGGCCTTGTTGGAGGAAGTGTTTTGGAGGTGGATTTTGAGTTATTTGTAGCATGAATTCTAATTGGTATTAATAATAACTGAGAATCAGATATTAAGGGGGAAAAACTGAGAGATCAGAGAGGCAGTGTGGCCAGCCATTAGAGATACCTTTTACCTATACCTTTTACCTATTTATCAATGCTCAGACAGAAGGAGCAATCCTGTCTTCAGACTGCCTCCTCAGATTTCATCCTCAGACTGCAAGAGCAATCTGCAGACTGCAACACTCTCAAGCAAACCCCAGACTGCCTGAGCTCCTGTCTTTTTCTGCCTTTTATCCTTCTCTCCACCCAGACATGTCACTCCTGTCTCCACCTCCCTAGTGCTGGGATTAAAGGAGTGTGAGCTCTGTTTTAAACAGATTCAATGTTGTGTAACCCAGGGTGGCCTTGAACTAATAAAGATCCATCTGCCTGTCTCTGGAGTCCCAGGATTAAAAATGTGCGCCACCACTCCCTGGCGTAGCTCTGCACTGATTTCCAGGCAAGCTTTATTTGTTAAAATATAAACAAAATATCACTACAGTTCTTAGAGGGTCAATTTTGCTATGTGCAACTCGGTTTCTTCCTGCTATCTGTGGATCAAGATGTAGAAATCTCAGTTCTCCAACACTAACTACCTGCAAGTTGCCATGTCGTGCCATGATGGTAATTGACAAACCCTCTGAAACTGTGGGCCAATAAAATATCCTCTCTAAGCGTTGCTCTAATCATGGTAGTCACAGCAACAGAAGTCCTAACAGTCTCAAAGTTGGTTCAGCTACTGAATTGAAGTCTTTTTCTGCTGTCAAAGAGATCTCCAACTGCCTTTGAACTTGTGTGTTCCCTGGGAGGTGGATAAAGTCACTCAAGACAGGTTTTCAGACTAGAGAGCATCAGGCAAGAAAAAGAGAGTCCTCTGTTAAGATACTGAGCTAGCTGGGTCCTTGGTGGTCAGTTGAGGACAATGGCAGGTGACAGAACACACCATGCAGAGAGAGCTTGAGTGTGGAGCTTATTGAGAAGAGGATTTTGGGAGGGTAGGATGAGGGGGAGAAAGGAGAGACACAGATAGATAGATAGATAGATAGATAGATAGATAGATAGATAGATAGATAGATAGGCAGAAAGCAAGGGAGGAAAGAAAGGAGAGGGAGAGGCAGAGATCTGCTTCAGAAGATAGGTGGGGAGAGAGAGAGAGCGAGAGAGAGAGAGAGCAAGAGAGGTCAGGAGTGGGCAGAACTTATCTCTTAAAGGGATATTTGCACCTGCCTACAGTTAAGGAACTACTTGCCATACATAGAGGGGTGTCAG